ACTAGCTAGCAAGCTGAAACTTTCAGGATAGCTTAGAAACTGATGACAATGCAATCTTTTGTGAAAAGAAAAATTATAAGAATATTTTTTGAAAAGAATAAAATAATTATAGTAGATTAAAAAATTAATCTAAAAAACCACGTTTTCAAAAAGCAAAAAATAACCTTGAACGTGGTGCGCATCTATTTCATTTGTATTTCACTTCTTCCCAACAATCTCCATGCGCACCACGTTTAAGGTTATTTTTTGCTTTTTGAAAACATGGTTTTTTAGATTAATTTTTTAATCTACTATAATTATTTTTCTTATTGTCTTGCAATATTTTTCTCCAAAACTCGAACTAAATTTCAAGTGCGGTCTATTCTTGCTCTAGTTGGTGCTTCCTGGTTCATTTTTTAAATTATTTTTTTTCGCTGAAGACCCTTGTACTTTTGGGAAAGCTCCTTTGGAAAATGTGGATGAGAACAAGAAGCAATCCGGTTGATGAGGTCGACGTTCGCTCGGACGGTCGTTTCCTTGTTGCCACTACAGTATACTGTTCCTGCTGTACGATAGAGTATGACAGAGGCGTGGAATAATGCAAACGCTGGGATGATCCTGTCATTGTTTGAAATGCATACGTGCGAGGAGTATGAGTAGTTTGATACTGTGCCGAGGTGTCGGATGTGTGTTATGTCCATGTGGCCACGTGCGTCGCATTTCTCCTTGTAATTTACAGGGTGGGCCGAAAAAAAAGGTGAACCGATTTTTGAATGAACATAGCTCATTGGTAGCAGATTGAGCTGTGACGATGGACAAAAAAAAATAACGCCAAATGAGAGCTTTTTCAATTTCCTTAGTAGTTTTTCACTTGACATCTCATCTTATTAGAAATGAGAAAATGTGCGCCATCTTATTAGAAAAAAGAAGCATGAAGTTTACTGGTTGAATCAATAATGGTTCTGTATGCACCCTATTTATCCCTAAAAAAGCTCTGATGAAAAACAGCAGCTTAGTATAGAATGAGTTGCTTGAAAACTTTTTTTTGTTGACAGTTTTCATTTAAATCGTTCTTGTGGCCATGCTGTGCCACTTCGGGACCATAAAACTACATACCATTTGAAAGGAAATAGAACAAGCTTTGATTTGGTGTATTTTTTTATTGCCAAAGCTCAATTTGCTGCTGAGCTACTTAGAGTCAAAAATCGGTTCACTTTTTTTTGGCCCACACTGTATATATGCGATGCACTGTTCATGTGCGTGGGCTTCTTTTGACCACGACTTGGATGTTGATGATCATGATGATGCTGAGTTGACAGTTCGTACAATATATTTTGTCCTTATTGAGGACTATTTGGGACAGTATATTTGCTCCTGTTTTATTTGGGAAATCGATTGCAAATTAAAAATTTGCGAGCTCATTTTTTGTCGCTGTCGCGATTCTTTGAAAACATTTATATGTTTGCCTTTGTATGGGGTATATTTTTTTTATGAAACGTCAACGGGACTATTTCTTGCACTCATCCTGTTTCAAAATTTATTTTTATTCCTCTGGAGATTTTCCAGAAAAAAATATTTTTTTGCTCTTTGAAAAATAATTCTCCATGAAAACCTGTTGTGTTTCTCTCCAGTCGAAGTCTACGGTATTGTTCCATTTTATAAGGACTTCAACTCCCAAAAATTGTTTGAAATTTTTAGTCTCTTTTAAAGACACATATATTCAAGAACTTCCGTATTTGATGGAAAATTTGATGAAAATAAAAATCCAACTGGAAAAATTTTTAAACCGTAGCCTTTTCTATGAAAACTCCGAAAGATTTGGCACATTGATGAAAATATTAAAACGAGCGGACAACTCACAAAATTAGTTCGTTCTACAGAGAGAATAATTCTAAGGGAAGTTGAATATCTGTCAATATAATGTCCGTGAGGACTATGAATAGAGTTACTTTCATCGAGAATATATATTTTTTTTTTCAAAAAGAGAGTCGTCCTTTATTTTCATTCAGACGAGACGGTCGAGGTGAATTTGAATGCCTTCTTCTTCCTTTCAAAACAAATGATCATCCGATTTTTTCTTGTGAAATGTCGAACGAAAAAAAAGGAACGGATGATACGATTTTTGACTTCTGTTCATAATGTCCTGTGTATAGTTTCCCTTTTTTTTTTTCTTTCAACGAGGACCGCGGAAGTGAGTGTTGGGTAAGTTCAAGGCGTCCTTGTTTGGGTCTCTTACGAAGAACCCGGGTTGGTTTTGGTGTTGTTGTTGTTGCTGCTGCTGCTGCTGCTGCTGCTGTCGGTTGTAGATGATGGTGTCACTGACGGCGACCTTGTTTGAGGCCAACTTGAGGGCTTTTTCGTGGTGCGGGGTTGACGGGTTGAAGAGCCCGTCTCTCAGGGGTTGCCAGTAGGGGTCTTCTTTGGCCTCTGGCAGCTCGCCATCGTTCGTGTCCACCATTTTGTACGTCGTCTTTTTTTTTAAAGAAAAGAGTTTTGAAATTGGGATTATTAAACTTGCGTGAATTTGTGTGTAACGAACGATTGATTATTATAGAGCCAGTTTTTAATTGTTTCGAATGCTCACTGAGGATCGATTATTTGCTTATTATAACGGAATCGTATTAACCTTGATGACAATTATTTTTCATCGTAATAAAACATTATTTTCATCATTTTTGTGTGCCATTTTTCTTATACTTCATATCTTTTATAAATCCTATTTATGTCCTTCAATATTTAAAGAGAGTAATGCTGTACAAGTTTATTCATATTACTTTATTGAACTTCAAATTTAATAAGTGACAAAAGAGTGCCAGAGGCAATTTTATAAATTCGTTAGAATCCTAATTAAGTAATTTTGAGTAAAGATTGGAGGACTTCTCATCGTAATATCGGTATCAGTTCTTTTTCACCGTAGGCTTTTTTTTTCTTGAGACAAGGTGGGATTCTAGTAGAATTTGTCATCGTCAAGGTTTCTGAAAATATTTGCCTAGGAACTTGAGTTCATGACCCCTGTAGAATTGATTTTTCTATTTTCACGTGTCGATTCCTTTATTTCTTATTTTATTTTTAATAAGTTACAGTACTTGCATTAAGATTGTATCCAACACGTAAATGTATAACGATGAACGATCAATTAAAGCCTTTTTCAATTATTTTAAAAGCTCGGCAAAGTTTTACGGAATTGTTGAAAGTTTGCTGAAATTATTTGCTGTCATATCTTTCGATTTCCACCAAATATTATGTTTGTGTCGTTGTTGAAGTTGATAAATGGGGTCATATATATGAAGAATTCATCACTGGTAAAAATACTACAAAGAAGTGAAATTGTTCTTTCTTCCTACTTTTTTTCCAACAAGAGTGACATTCTTGTTGTTTGTCTTTTAATCGAAGCATGTGCATGATTTTGAAATTCGTGTTTTCTCATGAAATATTGGATGGGGGTTATGACTGAATAATGAATCAAGTGAGACGTGTGACGCGAATCACATCGATTTTTTTTATTTATTTCTTTAAAAACACTTTTCTTTTTATTTTTTCAAGACTTACTTATTCATCCTCTGTCTCATTATGAATTCATTTATTTTTAAGGCTTTTCCTGCTTTGAACGATTACAACAGTGTTTTTTTTTTTCTTGGGCCCGTTTTCAACTCACTCGAACTGTTTCGTCGATCACAGCCACGAGGTCAAAATCGTCGTCGTCGTCACCAAATGGGTGGATCATACTTTCGGCAATTTTCATCCATCCGATGAATATTATCAGCTGCCAAAAAAATGGGATAAAATTGTCTTTTTGAAAAAAAAATTCAAAAGTTACCTTTTCCCAGCAACGGAGTATGAAAAGGAGTAAGCGTCGGAAATAAGTAAGCACAGTAAATTTTTGAGCAGCCAATAATACATGCACAGAATATTTATTTATTTATTTTTAGATATAGTTGAACCTCTTTAAGTCGAATTTCAAGGAACCAGCAGAAAATTGAACTTAGGGAGGTTTTAAATTATAGATGCTTGAGCTACAATAAAAAGCTATTTTGTTCTGCGAAGCATGGAATATTTTCCAAAAATTATAAATGGTGGTATTCTGGGGCTTAAATAGCTTCTTAAATGAATTGAAAGGATGCTAAACTTGTAGGCAGGGGTTCATTTGCCCAATTAAGTCCTTTCACTTCCTTTTGAAACACATAAAGTTCTGTTTTTGTTGTTTTTTTTTTCTTTCTTGTGTAAATAAAATAATAGCCAACAGGCCACAGAAAATGCAAATCACAGAAATTTGATGGGGAAAGCCTTTGACTTGGGAAGGGTTTTCATGGAATATTTCCAAGGGGATTCAGAGGAGGATCTGAAAAAAAAATTTGACTTAGGGAGGTTTTGACTTAGGGAGGTTTTAAATTATTGAGGTTTGAGTAACAATAAAAAGCTATTTTGTTCTGGGAAACATGGAAAATTTGCCAAAAATTATAAATGGTGGTATTCTAGGTCATGAATTGCTTCTTAAATGAGTCAAGAGGATGCTGAACTTGTAGGCAGGGGTTCATTTGCCCAATTAAGTCTTTCACTACCTTTTGAAACACATCAAGTTCTGTTTTTTCTTTCTTGTGTAAATAAAATAATAGCCAACAGGCCACAGAAAACTCAAATCACAGAGGTTTGATGGGGAAAGCCTTTATTGACTTAGTGAGGTTTTCAATGGATTACTTCCAAGGGGATTCAGAGGGGGATCTGAAAAAAATTGATTTAGGGAGGTTTTAAATTATAGAGGTTTGAGCTCCAATAAAATGCTATTTTGTTTTGGGAACCCTGGAAAATTTGCCAAAAATTATAAATGGTGGTATTCTGGGGCCTAAATTGTTTCTTAAATGAGTCAAGAGGATGCTGAACTTGGAGGCAGGGGTTCATTTGCCCAATTAAGTCTTCCACTACCTTTTGAAGCACATCAAGTTCTGTTTTTTTTTCTTTCTTGTGTAAATAAAATAATAGCCAACAGGCCACAGAAAACTCAAATCACAGAGGTTTGACGGGGAAAGCCTTTGATTCAGGAAGGTTTTTAATTTATTATTTCAAAGTAGATTCAGATGGGGATCTGAAAAAATTTCGACTTTAAGGGGGTATTTGACTTAGGGAGGTTTCAGTTATTGGGGTCCACAAACCTGGAGGATGGTGAAGAAAGGGAAATAGTTCTCTATACTCGCGGTCACCGCTTGTCGAGCAACGATACTTCCGAGGTAGAACGTGTAGCAAGCAATTATGACGACCTGCAATAAGATGAAGTTTTAATTCGATCAGAAAAAGTTCGTGCACAGCACGTGAGTGTCTTGAAGAAAGTTTCATTTGGGGTGGTTATGGAGGAATTTCTTGATGATGGCATGTATATTACTTTGGAATGGATGATTCTGAAGTTTTCAGAGTTACATGATGAGGCTTGAGCATTAATGCAAGTGAACTGGGTTATCGACCAACTCTGACCAGATCGATGAAAGTTTCCAAACACGTGCGATATTTGCATTTTATTTTTGTCTGTCTGAAAAGTGTTGTTTTTTCCGTCATCGATCCGGTAATTCATGCAGATCATGAAGCCACGATGTTTGTCGTATATGTGAAGGAAATAATAATGAACCATATCATTATCGACAAAGCATAGCAACAGTTCAGTACTTGAGTGTACCTTTGACCTAACGGAAAACGAAAATTTGGGTCATTTTCTTTCAGCGGAATGATGGTAATAATGCCTAACAGACTTTTTTTTTTACAAATTTTCAACTCAAGAATCGTCACCTTCACGAGTTGACATTTTTGCTGGACGTTCAAAGAGTATATTTACGAGATTTTATGATCGTTTTTAGAAAAAGGTTTACGTTACCTAATAAGTTTCCTTCGATGCCCCGGATATTTTATTCTTTTAATTATTGAAAAAATAATAGCTTTCGAAAGCGCTGGATTTATTCTGGAATATCTGAGCATTCCAACGGCGCGTAATTTTGGAACTGAATTTCTCAAGTTAAATACACTATATTTTCCTTTTGACTATATTGCATCCCTATAATTATGATCAAGGATAAATTGTGTTTTCCTAAATGAAGAACACTTCAGTCCCACAAGTATTAATATTAATAATACGCAGATGATCATATAAAAAATGTTTTTGGTACTGTACTCGGTTAATGACATCTCCGTAATATGTTTTCGTTTCATAAGAATAATGTTGAAGGCAAGATAAATTCCTTGGCTATTGTTGATTTATTGATTTTCGTGACGTTTAAAGCATTTACCCAGTGGAACCATTTGCATGTGATAACGCATTGCCCTCAAGTTTTTCCAAGAAAAGTTTGCTTTGAATTCTGGTTAAAATTCAAAAAGCAGGGTTCAGTTTCTTTAGGAACTACAGATAATATTCGTAAAGATGTGTTTTTTGTGCACTTCCATTTCTTCTGGATTTTTATTTCAGTTTAATGCCTCATAATTTTTAAGAGTTTTTCAAAGAAAAAAACTAGCTTTTCTGCTCTTTTTCATGATGCACCTAGCCTGAATTTCTTGAATGAAAGTAATGATTAAGGTTAGATTTGGTTTCCAGCTGCTTTTCGATTTCATGGTGTAGATTTGAATAGAAGAGGGTAATTTGGTGATTTTTTTTCTTGATACATCGATTGATATTACCTTTAGATTATTGATGCGAGTCCTGGTCGCTTTATTTTGCAAGGGTTTTTTTTTTTTTTTTGTGATGCATGAACAGTATGAATTTTTCCGCGTTTCTTCAGTATATACAGCTCACCTGTGAATAAGACAGCGGAATGCTGATGACTTCAGTCTGCAGCGTTTTGTCGCAATTGCGTCTAAAGTCTGCCAATTCGTCTTGTAATTTGGCCCAGGCGAAATCGTTGGCGACCATGTTTTGCCGCCGGGCTTCGTCAAAAATTGCAGACGCCCACATCAGAGGTATCCAATATTCTGGGAACTCTGCCGTCGGCTGCGACGCTCGGAAACTTTTCTGCTCCTCTCGCGTCATTAACCCTGAGGGAAAATTTATCCCAGTATATGTATCCTCATGTATATATTCTGAGCAAAGAAAACTTTCGGGATCTGAAGTCGTGCATATAAGACATTATGAGAATTCGCAGTATCTCATATTGATGCTTTTTTTTCTTTACTAGGGTGGAGGCCCAGCCACTCGTCCTGGGCAAGTGACATCACAGGAAAAGATTTTCTCCACTTTTTGTAAGGACACTTTTTTCCATTTGAAAATTTTCAATTTAAAATAAATATCCCTGCCACCCCTGTCATCTTCAGCAAGAGGGTGCCCAGCCACACATGGGCACTGGAGAAATTTAAGATTTGAAAATTCCTATCAGATTACACATAGAAGAGGGCATGCCCAGTTGTGTGGAAACGATGTCTAAAAAAAATGTGCCAAGGGGTGGGATTGAACCGGGTACCTCCGAGACTGGTTCACTGCACCCGAAGTTTTTTTGCGGGCCAAGTAAAACCTGCTGAAAGTTGGTTATTTTTTCCTTTTTCAAAATGTGATTTTTTAGATTAATTTTTAATCTACTAAATTTTTTGTGCTTTTTAGTCTTACTTGAAAAACGTGGCTTTTTAGATTAATTTTTTAATCTACTATAATTATTTTTGACTGATTTTATGATAATTTAAGGTGAATTCAAGGTTTGATTTGATGCGCCAAATGATTTCGGTTGACCTTTCTCCAGGTAAATATCTCAGTCTATGTAATTTGTTGATGCATTGGACACAGTTGTATATTCTATGCCATGTGTAGAAAATGGCTTGAAATTTCGGAAATTTTTAGACAGAAACAGTTTTAAGGATCAGAGCTCTTGATAGAGACAAAATCGAATATATACTCGTATGTTTAACCGTCAAGCTCACTTTTCCTATGTTTTCGTTGTGAATCTAAGGTGGGATTGACGCAAAATAATTTCAGGACTCGTCTTGACTTTAATTTCTAGCGCTAGGCATATTTTATCATCTCTTGCATAATTGGCTTTTGACATTTCATGTGCTTTATCAAAAACTTCCAAGAATCTCAATAGCCTCTGAGCGAAAAGTTTGAAAAAAATTTAAAGGAAATATGGTAAACCATGGAAATGCGTTATAGCTTAACTTTTTTTTTCTTTTCTTCTCAAGTGATTTATCGTGATTGATGTGATGTAGACAAGTTTAAAAGTTAAAGTTGAAGTTGAAGGAATAAAACAAATGAGTACTTTGATTGGGCTGGCACAAAAGGGGTGCCTTTGGGACTTTTCCCAACTTTGGCTGTTGGGAATACATCCGCAACAAATAAATATTTTATGAGAAAAGATTTTTAAACTTGATTAATTTTAGGAAATGAAACACCAGAATTTGGTCAGGCTATGACCAGGGGTGAAAATCACCCTATTTTAAAGTTGGTATACTTCAAGAATTGAAAGTTTTCATAAAGGGTTTTCAAGCATAAAATTGTCAGGTACAAACACACACGAGGGCTTAAATCAGAATGAATGTTTTTGCCAATTTTGGAAACAGGAAAACTGTCCTCCGAGGACAAAAAGAAACAGCAACAGGATTTTGGTAATAAAATACAGCCTTGAAGGCCCAAAAAGAAATTTGATGATCTAGGTCTTTCAAGATTCTCACAGAGATGAAGATTCAATCGAGAATTTGGGTTCTCAGATTCCACGTGACAAATTTAATACTGCCATTTATTTTTGCTACATTGACTCTTCTAACCATTTTTATCCTTGGGTTTACCTTCAAAGTTCCATCAAATGATGTGATATTACTTCAGGAACCAGCCGCAAGGATTTTCATTCTTTCAAAATTAAAGCATCTTGAGTGACCTATTGCATGAATTTCTGTATTTTCTTGTGAAAAAACATGCGCCAATATAATAAGATAACGAGTTATTAGACCTGAGCCCATTTGCTGATATTCTGCAAAAATGCGTGCATTTAATGCCCCGCATGGGTCGAGAAGTTTCGCTTGTGTTTGCGAACGAGCAAATAAATACAATGGATCATTGATTATTTGATTGCTTCGGAGACATGAGTGTGTCATTGATTTTTTGGCATGCCATTGTCTGGCTATATGACAAAGAATTTGTTTGAAGTTGACGTTGATTATGACTGAACACATATTTGTACAATTTTTTTTTCCCCACAAGAGGTCAAGTACTTATACTGAATGAGTACCAATAATCCCTGCTGGGAAAATTACAATTTTTAGACAATTGTCTATAATTTCTACATTGAACAGCACTGAAATTTTGTCTAATAATGATGAGGAATAAAAATTGTAAATGTTGAAACTCTGCTGGATCTATTTCAAAAAGTTGCGATACTTATGAACCAACCCTCGAATGTGCACTTGCTCCTTTGATTTTGATACCTTCTATGTCTTGAAGTAACTCTTTATTTTTTCTGTCATCTGATCATTTCTCAGACTATCGAACCACGGATCGAGTCTTTGTGTGTGGGTCTCACGAAAAGGGGAACGTAAATGTGTTTTTTTTTCGAACCCCTCAAATAAAAAAAAAAGAGACCTGTACTATACACAACGACGAGATCTTTACACCATTCAAGAGCTCTCATCGAATGCTTTTCTCGAGCACCGCTGAGCTCTTGTCTGGAGATGTGTATCACATAATACATCCATGTTTTCAATGAAAAAAAAAAAGATAGAGAGGCTAGAGAAAAAAAAAAAAAGGTCTGGCTTTTTAGCTTCGTCGGGCTTCAATCAAGCTCCGATTCCGATTTCGACTCTGGATATTGTCTCTGGGGACATTTTCTTTTGTGTGTCGGAAATTGAATCCGCTTTTGTCACCCCCCCCCCCAGACTTCAATAAAACTAGTTAATATTAGGAAATTGAATCCGCTTTTTTCCCCCCCCCCCCCCCCCCCCCTCCTGAATGTGACGGCGGAAAAGCGCTAATGATTTGTATTGATTTCAACTCCATCGAATGGCATTGGTCTTTCGTGAAAGGGGTTCGACTGGGTACGTTTGTGTCCCTTTATTAGTGGTGCATTCGGATGGAAGGGATCGAAGGAAGGGATTAAGTTGTGTGATTAATGAGGCCGTAATGCGCGTCATTTTGAAGTGGGAAGCAGAAAAGAGAGGCGGATCAATGAACCGTTCGAAAAGGCAGCAGCAGCAACGTACGTGTGTTACTTACCTCCATCCCCCTTTTTTTCTGTTTGATCATGTATTAGAAAAAAAGCACAATTTACTCTAATTGAGCACGTTAATTAAATATGATTCATCTTTTCGTAATTTGTCCTGACGGACTTAAAACCAAAATAATGATGGATATGCAGTGGGGCTTTGAGATTCGGTCGTAATTTTTGCTTGGGCCTTGTTCGTATGTCAAAACGTCCGCATGTCAGATCGCGTTTTCCTGCAGCAGACTTCAACCAATACTATGCTTGATTGGTTCTGCTGTTGATTAAAGATTACGAATAATTCCCCCGAAAAATTGACCCACATTTTTTTCTCAACTTGAAAACTCAGAAACTTACATTGTACAAGAAAACTAGAAATAATCGGATTTTTTGCATGAAAAATAGCTCAAAAATCAAGGAACAAGAAAAACGTTTCCTATATAGTGTGCACGGATGATGGGAAGAAATCTGGAACAATGAATACTTCTCCTGAAAATTTGACTGAAGTATTTTTCGCCACATTTTTAAAAGAATTGTTCCCCCAAAAAATAGAATAGAAGTATTTTTCTCAATTTTAAAATTTAGAAAATAACATTGCACGAGAAAACCACGCATAATCTGATTTTTTTGTGGCATCGAAAGGAACCCAAAAAACCAAAGAACAAGCAAAATGTTTCCTATGCTGTGCACATATGATGGGAAGAACTCGTTAAAAAGGAACAAAAAATCACCCTGTTTTGGATTAAGCATCATAGTCAATTTATAATAAAATTCATTTTTAATCGCTGTGAATATAAGTGGCTAAATTTTTCAAGAAATATCAATATTTTGAAAAATAATATTTTTCCATTTTTCTAGAAATGTTGGTAGCGTCTGCTGTAGCTCTAGATATTTCCCAGATGTTAGGGGAGCTTCTTTTTAACTTTCAAGTGTCCCCAAGCCGAATTTTTTCATCTTATTTTATTTCATTTTATTTTTTTAGGCGTTGCAACAACAAATTTTTTTTTTGTTCCCCCCCCCCCCCCCCCACCCCACTTTACGGTATTTTGAAGGAAACATTATTTGACTAACCTTTGGCCACCAAGCTTTCCAGATCTGGAAACGCTGTTTGAACTGGTGAGCTGAGTTTTCTCAACGCAAGAACCAAAGTTAAATTGATTTGTCTCATTGCCGTTCGTCTCAGCTGCTGTTGTTGCAACGCCTAAAAAAATAAAATGAAATAAAATAAGATGAATAAATGCGGAAATAATTGTCAGTCTTCACGTTTTGTCGTGAAAAAATTATTTCAAAATCAATTCGTGATCTTCACCTCAGTCGTTGACAAATATCCAGATCAAATCTCCCCCCTCCCTATGTTTAGAATTATTTATTTAAAAGTTTGATATTTCTGCAGTTCTATATACTGACATAAGCAATTACACTGCTGGACATTTTGAGGCCTTTTCAGTGAGACTATGTGATAAGCATCAGCATGGTGATTATTTGAACTTGATTGATGCATGAAAGGAGTGGCCTTCAATAGAAGTCCATTATCGCATTTGTACGTTTGGAGAAAAGTGCCTTTTGAATTATTGAGTCACGTACAAGCAGAAGTTTTTTTTGTGTCTGGATAAAAATGATGTGATCGTTTGGCATTCATCGTCAGGTTGTCTCATATATTCCTGCATGATTGTGGTCATTTTGACGAAGCTGTTATTATTCTTGCACAGTTTTTCTTCACGACTTGCATCAGAATTATTCGGAAATAAAATGGAAGTTTAGTTTTTATAGGGGGTTATGTAAATTTTGAAGAATTTGAATAGATCTCGATTGCCTCAAAATGCCTATTCATTCCGCGTCGTTTCACCGCTGCAAAATTCCTTGAATTACCCTTGAATTATTTTTTGTTGTATAAATTTTTTAGTGTTTCAAGTTGTGTATCAATTCGAATTATCGAAAAATTCGGGATTGGCTCGTGGAATAATTAACGATCAATGGATGGACGGATGTTTTCTGAATGATTAATTTTCCTTAGGCGCGGAGAATTTCGGGGGAAAAATGAAATATCAAACGCGGCTTTTAATTCGGGGAATTTAGTCAAATCGATAGGATGAGTTTTTAAATTATTTGCAAATTTTTATTTCCAAGAAATATAACATTTTTCTCTTCGTATATAGACATGGATTTTGGTGGCGTAACGAAAAAAGGGATTTTTCAACTTGAAAATTGTTTGCCTGGCATTGATCGCTTTTTTTGTTGTTGATATCTTTTAATTTCAGGGTGGAAATTATGCTTACATTGGAACGATTCTTTGGAATTGCACACTAGCTTCGTGCAAACATCGTCCTGATAAGATTTCATGGCTGTTGCCTTTTTTATGTTTGTGCAAGAAACTTGCTTTTTAAATATTAACGATGAGAAGTATAAGCGATCCTCGTGACGATTGCGGGAATATGTTTGTCATTCTGACGATTTGGCTTTTTCTTTTATTCAGCTGTGACCTCGGCAATATTTTTTGCTCTGAATTTTGGCCATGACCTCGTGAACTGCTGGAGAATAATTCGCCGATTTTCATGTTATCGAGACCTTCATCTTGTCAGAGGAACGATCTATTTATTTGAATTTTCTTGAAATTATCGTAATTTTTTGTTTCGTTGCATTCAGTATTTGTGAGAAGCTCTTTCTAGAATAAGAAAAAGCTTTTTTACTCAGCCAATCGGAATTTATTGAAATATTTCGATGACAAGGAATAAATCTATAAAAAAAACTCTCCCGATTCTTTCGATGTTCATCGTGTCTCAAATCGGAGACGCAATTTTTTCCGGACATTTTAGCTTGACTGTGATTTTTTTTTAATTCTGAAAAGTGTATCTTATTTGCATTGAAACCGGTCGTGATTTGACAAGTGTCGTAATTGAAACTAAGCTGACCTTTCCTGTCACACACCCTGCGATTCGAAGTGCGAGAGTTTTCGGCCTCGGCAAATTTTCCCACTTTTGCCAATATCGAGTTAGAACGAGTTGAAGGTAAAATCCCAAGGCAAAGGTTAGCGGCACGAAAGCAATTCCTCGTTCGATGTCTGTGACGATATCTTCCAGTTGTCTGTGCACAACAGGTAAATTGATCAAGTGATTCAATTTTAAACAAGACTGCGAACAGGTCGAAGTAGAATAAGTACCTTTTCTGGACGTCATCGAGTGCGAAGCGGTAAATCAGGTTCAGGGTGAAGTAGATGATTAACCAAACTATAACTTCTTTCCATACCATCTTGTAAACGCTTCCTCTCCAGCTGTGGCAAAAAACAAGAACGAATTTTATAATTAATGTGGATTTAAATATTTCTAGTATATATGCGAGGGTTCTAACAAAAGTTTTTGAAATCAACTTGGCATTCTTTCTTAGGGTTGCCTCCAGATCGTCCAAGGCAATTCCGCCATTTTCATCAACAGCCGCCAAAGTGGCGGCTGTGAAGGCGGCTGTTGATGAAAATGGCGGAATTGCCTTGGAAAAGGGGAAAGCTGGGCTACAACAAATTAAAGGGCGCCTCATCTTTTGAGTGGAGAGCAAAACTCTATGAAAAAAATTATGAAAAAAGTGCAAAAAAAATTGCAAACACGGCTGATATTTTTTTGTGTGCCCAAGAATATGTTTTCCGAAAAGAAAAATTTTTTTTTAGCTCAACTGCGTAGGCCATTTTCATTGCTACTCCGAGAACTTTTATTAGCACCCTCGCACTCATTTTATTCGTGTTTCAAATGGATTGAACTGCATAATACGCAATTAAGTTGGCCCAGAATATCCTCATTCTAAATTTCCCGAAATTTGTTAACTTTTCCTTGCGGCAACAATTTTTGTTTCTTCAATAAAACCTTCAACTCAAAACCTCCAAAAATCAAAACCTCTTTAGTCAATTTCGTCCTGGTCCCTATATAGACATTCGACTCAGATGAGGTTCAACGTATATCTATGTCCTATAGTTTATCCGTACTTATCTGGATGTTTAATATGATATATGTTATAAATTTAAATAAAAAACATGGAAAATATTTAATTGGCTCACAGGAGAAGCATCCGGAGCGATTGTCCTTTCGCTCGCAGATGCTTGACAGAATACCTGCGTTGTTCTCTCTTCTTCGTTTCGGGACTGAAATGATCCATGATTTCTGTTTTTGAATGTCGTGTCGGAGAAGGTTCAACTGTAATCCGTGAGCTCTTCGAATCAGGGAACATGAACCGTTTTTCAAACATGCACTCGGAATTAATTTGCCGTCTGTGCGTGATCCGCAAAAAGTATTTCACGCATTTTTTTCTTCAATAATAATGTCAATATATGTTGGTTGATGTGGAATTCTGTCGAAATTCTACGCAACAAGTGCGGGAATGAAGTGTTCGGGAAAGCAACTGGGTTTCATTCCTGGTGGTTTATTGGGGGTTAACGCAGGATATATGGGGGGTAAGAAATAGCTGAAGACAACTCAGCGTTACGCGCAAATGTCCTTCAAATGCTCGCCGAATATAACTTATGTAGAATTTCGTAGAAGAATACTGTATTTTCAATTTTCCCCATATGTTTACTTCGTTTTCAACTTTTTCAAGCCTCACGAAAAAACGTGAAAAAAATAAAATAAAATAAACAAATAAGCGGAATTAAGCTTTACAACACAATAATAAGAAAAATGAGGATTTCTTATATTTCGTGTTGCGAAAAAATTTTTTACGATTTAAAATCGTCCCAGTTCGTCGCATTGCTTGCTCAAGATAACTCAGAGCCTGTACTCATTAATTTCAGTGAGAAATTTGCTTCGGAAAACTTCTTGTCAAATTAGTATTTTTTATAAACACGAAAAAAATGTCTTCGAAATTATAAAGCCTTATCAACAATCCGGATGATCGAATCTTCGAAGTGTAATGAAGAAATTAAGCGAAATGTTGGAGCATCGAACACAATTTCATGCAGCAATGGATTATTGGAGATGCAAATTTCTTTTTTCAAAATGACTATAACCGCAAAATTAAATTCTTCGTTCTTGTGACAAAATATTGACGGTATTGACTGCGTCAAGTCTGAAATTTATCTTACATATGGAATAATCACGCGTTTTTTTTAGCGGAATTTAAGGGAGAATCGGCGGCCTTGTTTTTTTTTTTTGTGTCGCTCAATTGTTCCTGACGCTTAGTTGTCCATCACGCTCATTTGTCCGACGCCTACTTTGCGAGGGGTTCCAGTATTCCAGGTCAAGGGGATACCTGAGGCGGGCTTGATTATTACGACCCCGGTGTTTTTTTTTTTCTCTAGGAAACCCGACGGGTTCGCGGTTCATGCGCTAATCGAACCTCATGATTGAACAATTTTGGAATTGCCTGAAGTTTTATTCGGAATTTTCTTGCATTTTCGCAGACAGAGGTGTTTTTTTTTTTCTCTAGGAAACCCGACGGGTTCGCGGTTCATGCGCTAATCGAACCTCATGATTGAACAATTTTGGAATTGCCTGAAGTTTTATTCGGAATTTTCTTGCATTTTCGCAGACAGAAAAATGACGAATTGAATTATTTTTTCAAGTTTATGGCATTGAATCATGCTGCTTTTCATGATGATTCTTGGTACATTTTAAAGTAATTTAATTTAATGGAAATATTTTATGTGGAATTAATTTTTTATAAGGCACACTTTTGTCAAGAATTTCAAGAGTATCTACACTGGTGAAAAAAGCTCGAACAGAAATCATCTGAAAGCTGATTGAAAAGCAAATGTTCAATAGAAAGTCAAATACGAATAATTGATTCGGCAAATATTGTGAGGGATAATTAGGCAAGTTAATTTGACTATAAAACAAGCAATCGATTAGTTGTGTATAGTAACACGAGTTATTTACATATTCAACGCCTTAGAACAAAATTAACGCTTAATTTGTTTGATCAACGCATTCAAAACAGGCTCGATTGATAAGTACTGTTTTGAAGAGCGAAATGACGCCTTACTTCAGATTTCAGGATAATTTTCCTCAATCCTGAGGATTACAAAAGTTTGTTTTCACCGGTATTTTGAAATAATTTCGCTTCACTATATTATACGCAGATTGTCTCGGAAGTTTATTTCTGTCTNGGTGTTTTTTTTTTTCTCTAGGAAACCCGACGGGTTCGCGGTTCATGCGCTAATCGAACCTCATGATTGAACAATTTTGGAATTGCCTGAAGTTTTATTCGGAATTTTCTTGCATTTTCGCAGACAGGCAAATGAAGAATTGAATTATTTTTTCAAGTTTATGGCATTGATTCATGTGGCTTTCCATGATGCTTCGTGGTACATTTTACTGTAATTCAATTTAATAGCGATATTTGATGTGGAATTCATTTTTTATAAGGCAACACTTTTGTCAAGAATTTCAAGAGTTGAAATTCACTGGTGAAAAACGTTGGGAACAGAAATCATCTGGAAGCTGATCGAAAAGCAACTGTTCAATAGAAAGTCAAAACACGAATAATTGATTCGGCAAATATTGTGAGGGATAATTAGGCAAGTTAATTTGACTATAAAACAAGCAATCGATTAGTTGTGTATAGTAAAACAAGTTATTTACATATTCAACGCCGTAGAACGTTTAATTGCGAATTAAACAAACTAGTTGCGTAAGTTTTGTCCGAGCTAACTATTCATGACAAAACTTCTCGCTTTACTGCGGAATGAAGTCTAAAGTCCTATTAAAAGGAGTTAGGACTCCTAATGTAAAGTTTGTTTTCACCGGTATTTTGAAATAATTTCGCTTCACGATATTATACGCAGATTGTCTCGGAAGTTTATTTCTGTCTGTTTTCCCTTCAATATCATCTTTCAACCTTCAATGCCTAAACTAAAGGAGGCAAATCACCTTCAACCTATGAGCGTAGAGTAGAAGAGCGATAATAACTAAAGTAGTTAATAATGGCGCAACTTTTATCGAGTCTAGTAGTTAAATAAATAAGTACGACGCAGCTCGTACTTCAAAGACAGGGTAGACCACAAATAATATGCCTCGATTTTTTAAAATTCATCAGCCTCTGAAGAATACAAAATTTAATGATTTTTTCTCGAAAATTTCTGTAGTGGTTTTACTGCGAGGCGCGCGGAATTGGGACAGGAGAAAGGCGTTCTTAGCCTTAGAAATCAGTGTCATTATTTTCTCCGCCCTATGATAAAACAACAATTTCTGTCTCATTTATTTTTTAATTCGCGGAAAATCTTCTCAAACCCTCGTGAGCAATAAAGTTGTAACATTTCCTGGCCGAATCCTCATGAATCATGCGAAGAAGAGCGAAAATTTATCTGCTCTCTATAGAAACTAGGTTTTTTAATACCATTGCTGATACTCTCCGTAAATATAAAATCATAAAATTAGAAATCATTCAGAAGCAGATTCCACTCATTCAACAAGATTGCTCAACAGCCACAATAACGAAAAAGCACCAGGGAAGCAACACTTGGAAAGAAACGTGTAAATTTATAATTTCACAAGGGTTTCTTCCAATTTCTGAGGAACGGAATAATTGCTTTCTTTGGCTTCCGTCAGTGAACTTGGGAAGTCTGGGGGTCGTATAGGGGGTTGCCGCCAGGTTTTTGCCTGCGTTCTGATAAGAGCATTGATTTTGCAGTCGAATATACGTGGGGTGAAAAACTCCTAGGAAACCATGGCGCATATTCTTACACTTGTTGTGGCGGAATAATTCGCATGCAATTTCATGGTATTTAGATACGACCTAATTAGAGCTTGTAAGCTCTGGAAAGAGTCCAAAAGGTATCGTAGTTGAGCGGCGGTAAAGGAACCCTTCGAGGTCAAGTCATGACCTTCTCTCAGCGTCAAGTTTAGTCAATTTTTGATTGTGTGTTTTATCTATGTTGGTGATTGTGATTTGGGCAAATTGTTTTATGTAAAATTGAATAAGAAACCCTAGAACTGTTGTTCTAGGGGTCCACGTGGGGTGTGGACTAGTTTCACAAAATAAACGCTTAAGGAGCAGAGGAAAACACGGTTAAGCCCGTGTAAAATTGGTAGCAGAGACCTGAAGTTTTTTTTTTCTTCTCCTCTGGTCCCTAACCCATGGCTCCGGAATTGTCTTCCCCCTCTGAGGTTCTTCCTCCAGACAAGTTGCGTGAGTCTAGTGCAATTTTTTTTTCTTTTTAAAAATCATGGATGGGAAACCCTTCTGAGATTCCTTGCCTGGGGCCCTGCCTTCTTAGGACCAGGGATCCCGGCATAATTGGTCAGGCTGACATTGATTCTCTTCAATGCATAGCTGTATGAACCTGGCTTGCTTTTGTACAAGCTCGGCTTTGTCCAGTTTTGTTGGATTGACAATGCACTTCCTCATCAACAGGGCCGTTTCAATCCCTTAAGAATCCATTTTCAGTGCCTTCTCAGCAAGGGCTGCCGCCACTTTGTACCTCTTTTGTACGACTGCCCAATACGCCAAGCACACATACAATTTGACTGAGTTTGGTGCAACGTTTCGTACACGCTCAGTGATTTTGTCGAGTTCACCAGCCATTTGATCCAATCTGAACGAGCTGAACATGCAGTACATCCGTGCCAAAGTGTCCGTGTGGCGCAAATGAGTTGGTTTTTTTTTTTTGCAATTGCATCTTCAAAATGCGTTATGGAATCCTTGTAACGGCCTTGCATGACAAATATTTTCCCTCTCACAGCTTTTCCTTCCAGCAAACCAGAAAATATTGGACACGAGTCTAACACTTTCAACGCGTTCTCGTATTTGGCCGCGTACATGCGACCCAGGGTTTTCAACCAACAATGACACCAGGTGGCTTTGGGATGAGCTTCAACACCTCTTCCAATCCATGCCTAACTCCAAGAGTTTTTCTGCAGCTGGCAGAGCAAAATCACACGCCTCCAATACGGCGCTCTTAAAAAGCAAGCATTGATTCTTGTGATGTCTAGCTATCTTTATATTTCTGATTTTGGGGACTTGATCACTTTTTTTTGTGGAAGTTCCCTCTGAATTTTCTCAGATCAATTCTTTTTGTTTTTTAAACGACATTCACCTATTTTATCTTTAATTGTCAGAACTGGGGAGTCAATTCTATTACTCTCATATAATTATTGCAAATCTGCACCTTATTTTCCACTGAATTCCGTCGTTTCACAAAACTTTTTCAAATTGTGATTCATAAAAAAAAAATTTCCTTCCGTTATTCTTTTTTACATCTTGACAAATTTTGCACTTTTAACAGTGGAATACCACCCGTTAAACATTTCTACTCTATATGAAGTTTTTTCATTATGCCTCACCAAGAAATGTGAATTTTCTAAATCATTTATAGTCCGTCAATACTGCGCACTTTCATTCTCTGGGGGGCATTGCCTTCT